CGATCAATTAATATAGCACCCGTTTCATCCTGAAACTGCGTATTAACTGGAAGAACTGGCCGAACAAACCGTCAGAGAACATAATATTATGCCAATTATGATATTATTTTATATATTATCCACATTATCCATATCCATATTATCCATACATCGTATCCAAAATATTATGGATACAAAAGTTATGCAAAAGAATGCAAAGATGAATGAGGACAACGACCTTTTCACTCGGTAAGTCATCGTTTTCCTTGCACAGACGAGCTAGAAAAGAATCTGCTTCCCGACACAACGTTTGTCGAGTAGTCTGGAAGATCTGCAACATTAATACGTATGTTTCGAAGTCGTTTCACTCAAGAATCCCAAATATAGGCTGCAACTCATAAAATGCGTTGCACGTTAAAGCAGTTCTGTTCGAAGTCCTCGAAAAAAAAAAAAAAAAAAAAAAACCCAACAGTCTTGCGAGGATATACAAAAGGGTACACAGTGCCGGTAAAACTATCAAATCCATGCAAAGCGCTGCCACTCATATTTAACGAGGTGCGAAAAACCGCTTTTAAAACAATCTCTAAGGAAGGGGATGCGCGAAGCCTTGCAGTAAGGGTTCGCCAGAATTATATTCACGCCAGAAAAAAACAGTACACGCAAGTGCACACATTCAAGAAACTGGTCTTTTTAGACAAAAAAAAAAGGCTGAATTGCTTTTTTCAGGGAGAGCAACAATATTACATAACTGAGGGCGCAGCAACAGAACAGAAACGTGCAAATGTAACTTGGAAAAGAAAGCAGGAGCAATGTAACAGTCCTTCTAGTAACAATGAATCTTCACAACAATTGCCCCGGCGGTTTTAGCAGCCTTAGTTAGGTAAAAATAAAACCCAGACTGGAACGCACCAAGCGAGCCGGTGCGATCATGCGTTTTCGCACCAAACTTGAATTAGGTTAAATGCATGAACGGTTGTTTCTTAACACCAACCTTGTGCGTTCAATACCGTAAGTCATCGTAAATTTTGCATAAAAGGAAATAATTTTGTTTAGCGGTCGCTTTTTGAAAATAACCCAGCCGTTGAATGAGTAATTTTCCTGCCAAAAATTTAAGTGCCCGTACACGAGAACCACGCATACGTGGAGGCTGAATTTCACACCTTTAAGTTGTATTTGGACAGGGAATATTCTCCTGAAATCTCAGTTTTCCAGCTTTTCTGGTTCCCGGGTTAACAATTTTCCCGCCTAAACTTTCATAGGGTAGCAAGTGACCTGAGAGAATACCTGGGGCTGGGTTAGGAATCTTTAAGTTGTATGTAGGCTGGGAACATCCCTTTAAAATTTGAGTCGCACAGCTTTCCTGGTTCCCAAATTAGCCATTTTCGTGCGAAAAATTTCCACGCGGCCGTACGTGAGAGTCACGCATGCCTGGGAGCTGAATTTAATAACTTTAAGTGGCATATAAGCTTGGAACATTCCCTGAAAACTTCAGACTCCCAGTTTTCCTGGTTCTCAAGTTAGCGACTTTAGCGGCATGAACCCTTACGGTACCATGCACGCCCCGGGGGCTGGATTTGAAATCTTTGAGTTCATGTGGACGGGAACATAATCTCAAAATTTCAGCTTTCCAGCTTTTCCCGTTCCCGAGTTAGCAATTTTCCCGCCAAAACTTTCATCCTCTTGTACGCAGGGCCTAGACTCGCGTAAGGGTTGGTACCGCGGTCCCGTGGTGGCACACGGCTGAGGCACACCCACTAGCAAAATTTTGGCGCCGGAGCTTGTTTAGCTGCCGAGTTGAAATACCCAGACAAACGCACGCACGCACGCACGCATGCACGCACACACACACACACACACACACACACATACACATACACACAGGGTCGTTGCAATATGCGTTTTTGCAATTTGCATATAAGCAAAAACGCAAAAAATTAGCGATGCGCGTTTAAATGCATAATAACATTAATCAACCAACTGTTCCCCCAACGTTTAAACGTATCCATGTTGTGGTGGTACTTGATTTGTGACTCGGAGGATCAGCGTCGGGCAGCGAACTTTCCAAATGCGAACCGTTGACCAGCGATTCGGAGCGACAAACTGTTGAAGGCGCATTCACTTCACGAATCTACAATCTCTTCTTTTTATTTCTTCATTCATTAAGCAACCACTCATTTCCTACAAAGCCTCATTTTTCCAAGCTCTGAAGCCTCGCAAGACTATACCGCCCATGCCCCTCGGCCCAATGTACTACAACAACTGTGTTATCAAGATCAATTCATTGCTACCCGTCCAGCTGGTACCTGAGAGTAGTGCAGCAGCAGCAGGCACGAGGGCAGAAGGCACAGTGTACCAGGCGGAGAGAGAGAGAGCAAGGCCCAATCTGGGCACAACAGACCGCATTTGGTCTGAGTGATTTCGAGCACAAGCTAGCACTGCGCACCGTCCCTAGCACAGCGCGCCTTGAGACGCATTTAACAACAAAGGCATAAGTTACCGCCGTGTCTGATTGAAAAGGAGGCGAATGCTCATCCATGAGAACATCCGAAGAAGACGTGAATTCCTCCACAGCAGCTGAACCAGATGCCATTTTTAGCCTTTAGAGCCTGCAAAATTCACCAGTCATACGTGTGATCAGATGCCTACACAGCACCCGAAATTTTTGCTTGGCTCGCTTTCCAGGCAGTGGCCAGCAGCCGGACCTCTATTTCTCCAGCGAGGCGCACCCATACTCCTCGGTGGTCGGCAATAATTCGAGGGCTTTCACTCACCACAGGTAAATGCAAGCAAAATACTACAAAAAAATAACCGAGAAGAAATTCATGAGCAGTCGCACGGGAGTCACAAAGAAGTGCCCGAGTGCTATAAAGTCAGCGGGCTCGATGAGAGTTCGGGCCCCTCCATTCGCCTCGTGATCGGATCTTAGCGCCCTGCACAGCGGCCAGTCAGTAAGATCAAAGCATCGCTGCCCCTGTGCTTATGTCTGCGCATCTTCGGGAAATTTCTTCGCAATTTTACTTGTCACACGGGCGCCACCAGAATAAACTGAAAGTCATTTTGGAAGAGAAGTGCAGTGCCCGCATTTCTACTTCTTTAGGGCTCACTATATAAATGAGGGCAACCATCAGCTGCTGCTCGCAACGATTCAGTGGCGATCAAAACGTTACCAGAGTGAGGTGACCAGAAGCAAATTGAGCAAGTTTCTTCGAGAAGCAACAGCAGCCGTCGCGCCCGACGGACAAACAACCACTTGTCGCTCCCGGCTCTCCTCGTACCGCTATTCGCTGAAACAAACGACAACTGCGAACAGCTCCCGCAGCAGCAGCTGCTTGCTGCAAACACGGAAACCGACGCCGCTGAGCTGACCAGTGCCAGCACAATGGGATGAGCCATCGGCAGCCCGGAAACAACCGACCGACACCACTTCTCATCTAAAACCGATTATTGCCGGCTGCCAGGAAAGCCCCGACCGGTGTTCAACTAAAATCGTGCAGCACCAGCAACGAGCAAGACCAGAGAATGCCCACAGTGCGGAGCGAGGGAGTGCGAAAACGTCGTACTGAACCCCGGCCCGTGCTGCATCGCTTCAGCGCAACAACAATGACCACCCTTCCCTCCCCCCTCCCCAACGACCGCCGAACACCATCCGAACAGAACCACCACTGGCGAGCACCCGCTATCAGCCAGAAAACACCCAACAGATCCAGGCACAGCGCCACCCGAGACGAACCGTTGCATAGCAGGACAC